GTTGCGCTGGAGTATTATAGGATTATCCGAGGTCCGAAGAGAGGGGGAGGACACGGTGATTCTCGAATCCGGCAACTTGTTCTATCACCGGGAGGGCGACCATCTGTCCCAAGGAGGTGTCGGATTTATCGTCCACAAGTCTCTCGTCAACAACGTTGTACAGATTGAGAGTGTGTCGACGAGGGTCGCGTACCTGATACTCAGAATCACCAAACGGTATTCGCTGAAGGTCATACAGGTTTACGCACCAACGTCGGCACATTCCGATGAGGAGGTGGAGGAAATGTATGAGGATATTTCCAAAGCCATACATTCCTCCAAAACCCACTACACGGTGTTGATGGGAGACTTCAACGCAAAACTAGGCACAAGAGAAAGCGGTGAGCTGAAGTTAGGGAAATTTGGAGTAGGGCAACGGAACCGAAGGGGCCAGCAGCTGGCCGACTTTATGGAGAAAGAGGGACTCTTTATGATGAACTCTTTCTTCCAGAAGCGGCCCCACAGGAAGTGGACCTGGTCGAGCCCCGACGGTTCGACAAAAAATGAGATTGACTTCATTATGACGACCAGACGCCAACTGTTCAGTGATGTCTCAGTGATCGCAAGGGTGAAAACTGGCAGCGATCACCGAATGGTTAGAGGCACACTGAACCTAAACGTTAAGTTGGAGAGGTCTCGTCTAATGAAGTCAACGCTCCGTCCCCCTCGTGCTCTGATCCAAAATCCCGAAAACTTTCAGCTCGAGTTACACAACCGCTTTCAGTGCCTACAAGATTGCAATGCAGTGGACGATATGAATGACAAGCTCGTGGAAACTGTCCGTGCGGTCGGAGCTAAGTTCTGCAAGACCCGCCGCAGAAGAACACAAAAACTCTCCGATCACACTCTTAATCTCATGGCTGTTAGACGGGAGATGAGGCTGCAATCGTCAACAGATTTGACAGCATACAGGCAACTGAACAGACAGATCTCCAAATGCATGCGGCGAGACTTACGCAACTTTAATACTGCTCGTATTAAAGAAGCGATCGAGCGGAACCAGGGCTCCAAAGTCTTTGCCAGAGATCTGTCTGCCAGAAAGAGCCAACTGTCAAGGCTGAAGACTGAGTGTGGCAGCATCGTTTCCGGGACACCTGAGATTTTGAGTGAGATTGAGAGGTTCTATGGGCAGCTGTACACATCATCGTTGGAGCCACACGCAAGTGTGAGTAACGATCCAAGAGCAAGTCTTATCCGACACTATTCCGATGATATCCCGGACGTCAGTCTAAGCGAGATTAGAATGGCTCTCCAGCACCTTAAAAACGGCAGGGCCCCAGGCGAGGATGGAATTACAGCGGAGCTTCTGAAAGCGGGTGGAACACCGGTACTTGAAGTCCTTCAGAAGCTCTTCAATTCCGTCCTCCATGGTGGCACTACTCCAGAGGCGTGGAGCAGAAGTGCGGTGGTCTTGTTCTTTAAGAAAGGCGACAACGCTCTCTTGAAGAACTACAGACCGATTTCCCTTCTGAGCCGCGTCTACGTGCTGTTTTCGAGAGTCATTACGAATCGTCTCGCACGCAGACTCGACGACTTCCAGCCTCCCGAACAAGCCGGTTTCCGAAAAGGCTTCAGTACCATAGACCACATACATACCCTGCGGCAGATTGTACAGAAGACCGAAGAGTACAATTTGCCACTTTGCCTGGCGTATGTGGACTATGAGAAAGCCTTTGATTCCGTCGAAATTTGGGCGGTGCTGCAGTCCCTTCAGCGGTGCCAAGTTGACTGTCGGTATATCGAAGTGCTGAAGTGTTTGTACAGTAGGGCTACGATGGCTATCCGAGTACAGAACCAGAGCTCGAAACCTATCCAACTGCAGAGAGGTGTAAGACAGGGTGACGTTATATCCCCCGAAACTCTTCACCGCTGTTTTGGAAGACGTTTTCAAGCTACTGGACTGGAAAGGATACGGTATTAACATCAATGGCGAGTACATCACTCACCTTCGATTTGCCGACGATATAGTCATTATGGCAGAATCGCTGGAGGACTTAAGCACTATGCTCAATGACCTCAATAGTGCCTCCCAACGGATAGGTCTTAAGATGAACATGGACAAAACAAAGATCATGTTTAATGTCCATGTCACACCTATGCCGGTAGTTGTTGGGAGCACTATGCTCGAAGTTGTTGACGAGTACGTTTACCTGGGACAAATAGTCCGACTAGGTAAGTCCAACTTCGACCGAGAGGTCAATCGACGGATTCAACTCGGCTGGGCAGCGTTCGGGAAATTACGACATATCTTCTCGTCAGGTATACCTCAATCTCTGAAAACTAAAGTGTACAACCAGTGCGTGTTGCCAGTGATGACTTACGGATCAGAGACGTGGTCCTTCACTGCTGGCCGTATAAGGACGCTCAAGGTCGCTCAGCGAGCTATGGAGAGGGCTATGCTCGGAGTTTCTCTGCGTGATAGACTCAGAAATGAGGATATCCGCAGTAAAACCAGATTGACCGACATAGCCCAACGGATTAGTAAGCTGAAGTGGCAATGGGCCGGCCATATAGCTCGAAGAACCGATAACCGATGGGGAAGAAAGGTTCTCGAGTGGCAGCCTCGTACCGGTAGGCGTAGTGTAGGGCGACCCCCCACTAGATGGAGTGACGACCTGGTAAGACATGCAGGAAGTCGATGGATGCAGGTGGCTCAGGACCGTGCTTTGTGGCATTACTTGGGGGAGGCCTATGTTCAGCAGTGGACTTGTGAAGGGCTGTGATGATGATGATGATACGTCTTGTCTTAGCCAATTAATTTACAAGCGCGCTATCTCTCATAATATATTAGCAGAACAACAGAAAGGATGCATAGAAGCTAGTCTAGGTTGTAAAGAACATGATAATTGACGCAATCGTCTCTAAACCAAGCAGTCACCAAAAAAAGAAATATTTTGACCATGTTTATTGACTACAAGAAAGCATTAGACTGCAATACCCCATATCTGGCTAATATACATTTTAGAACATTATAAGATTCATCAAAAATTAGAGAATTCTTAAAAAATACAATACCTGGAGAACTACTCTCAAGCTATACAATGTTGATTCCTGTTTAGAGACTGATACAATAACAATCCGAAGGGGAATTTTTCAAGGTGATGCCTTAAGCCCCCCTCTGGTTCTGTCTGGCTTTAAATCCTTTATCTAACCTTCTCAATAGAAATGACAAGGGGTATAAAACACCAATGGAAATACATATCATACACTATCACATTTACTTTATATGGATGACATAAAATTGTATGGAAGTAGTTTATAATTCATTGGTCTAAAAGTAACCTAATAAAGCTGCAACGTATCATCAATACAACTATGACTAAATACAGAAAACACCACCCTATATATTGTAGCAAACGACTCATATTACCTAAAGTAGAAGGTGCAAGAGGTGTGATTGATATAAAAAATCTTCATAACTCTCAAATTTCAGCTATTCGAAACTTCTTTCATCAACAAGCCAATATTAGTCCGCTTCATAATGTTGTTGTTGTGCCGATACTAAATTTACTTTTTTAAATCTCAAAGATCAAAGAAAACAGAAAAACGAAAGCATTATCTCTGCACAGGATAAAATTAACAGCTGGTTGCAGAAGACGGTACATGAAAGACACCGCCGCGACTTGATGAACACAAACGTAGACAAGATAGTGTTTAACATGTGGCTCAGGCGCGGAAAACTTTTCCCTGAAACGAAAGGCTTTATGTTAGCAATTCAGGACCAAACTATACACACACTAAACTACAGGAAACATATAATTAAAGACCATACTCTACAATCAGACCTTTGCAGACATTGTCATAATAGTTCCGAAACCATTCAGCATATCACTGGTGCCTGCAGCTTAATAACACAGACCGACTATAAACATAGACACGACCAAGTAGCTGCCATCATTCATCAGTATCTCGCATATAAATATAAACTTATAGAAGAAAAAATACCTAGCATATTATAAATAAAAACCAGAAATCATACTTGACTCTCGTGAATTCAAAGTCTACTGGGACAGAACAATATTAACTGATAAGACAGTGCATTATAATCGACCGGATATTACGCTACATGACAAAAGAAACGAATCTGTTTATCTTATAGATATTGCTATACCAAACACTCACAATTTGAACTCTACCTATAATGAAAAAATAGCCAAATACACTGATTTATCCATCGACTCAATAAAATCCCAGTGGAAAGTAAAAACTGTAAAATCTATACCTATCATAATATCAGCAACTGGCGTCATTCCCACACGCCAAAGGAACTAATATCCATAAACTACCTTTATATCACTATCTGTAGTCGCAATATTGAATACTTGCAGAATAGTTCGTAAGTTCCTGTCTAAAGATTAAACACTTAACCGATTTAGTTTGGCTAACAGCCCGCGAAAAAGGTATAATACCTCGATAACAAGAGAATACTAAACAAAACATAATAATAATAATAATAATAATAATAACGTAACGGTTATGTGACAAAACCGCTACGTCAACGCAGTCAGTCAGCACCTTGCCAAGAGGTGTTAGTGCCGTGCCTCGGCAAAAATTGAAGGTGCAAAGGCCCGCTTGTGCACATGGCTTCACCATGAAACGGCGCCGGGTCTGGGCGTCTCCCGCTAAATGACGCCCTAAAATGGATGATGGAATTAAATAGAACGCGCAAAGGGCCGCTGCCTGGAGGTCGCCAGGGCGCGTCTGGAGCTGGCGCTGGACGCGGCAGCATGCGAACCGCCAGCCGAGCGCGAGGTGCTGCACGACCACCCAGCAGCCCCTCGCATCCATCATCCCCACCAGCTGGCTTGGTGTCGGCAGGGTCTTCGCGGGCCCAGCAATCGGCACCCGCCTCTGGTGGAGTACGCCGCATGCGTTGGACAACCCAGATGAACAGCAACGCATTGCGGGCGTATTTTAGGGCGAAAGGGGGAGAAACTGGATGTTTGGCGTATCGGGCTAGGATGCATCGTCTTTTTGCTGAGCTGGAGCCATCTTTAACCGTCACAGAGCAAAACCTGGCAGACCGAGTTCGGTATATCTTGCGCTCAAATATATTTGATGTCGCCGAACTCGAACGGCTACGACGTGAGGCTGTTCCCTCGTCGGATGAGAATGCTACGGCTGAGGATGCGGCGCCACAAATGGTAGAGCAACCCGCAAACGTGGATGCCGCCGTGAATACCCCAGTTGTGGTTGATTCAAACGATGATGGAACAGTCGCCCAGGAACTGGAATTAGAGCATATGAGGAGTACATTGGAAGAGGCGATTGTGGAAACGCGCAGTACGCCTCTCGAAAATCGACCGCGACTTCCCCGCATAGCCCTAAGCAAGCGGAATCGGGCTGTCGTGAGGGCTCTGAACCCAATGCTGGTGACCTATTTGGAAGCCAGCCGGGACCTTTGCGAGACGGACTCAATTCTTTTTGGCGCCGCGCTGGCAGTCTGCCGTATCATAGGCGCCAAGGTTTCCACGGCTGGACGCGCTACTGGCCATAGTAGCGCTATCCCAGCATGGAGAAGAAGAATTGAGGAACGTATCGCAAAGGCTAGAGCTCTCATCGGCAGACTGATATGCTTCAGATCAGGCAACAACAGGCCAAGAATTGTGCGCACCGTCAGGATGGCGTTTGCTGGGACAAATGTCAGTTTGTCCCAGCCGGATATAACGCAAAAACTGACGGAGCGCATAGATGATCTGAAGCAGAGAATCGCTGCTTGGGGAAAGCGGATTCGGCGATATACCGAGAGGTCGACACGGTTCAACCAGAATCGTCTCTTCCAGAGTGATCAGAAGAGGCTCTATGAATCATTGGAGCGACCAATGGTAAGTGGAACGGGTCCAGCACCGAATCAGGCCGACACTGTAGCATTCTGGCGCGACCTGTGGTCAGAGCCCGTAAACCACAGCGAGGGCCCTTGGACGGAAGTTGTGGCGAGTCAGTGTGCGGGTATTACGCCCATGGACCCCGTCATCATAACGCCGAATGACGTAGCTGAGGCGGTCCGTAGGGCCCCGAACTGGAAAAGTCCGGGGCTTGACGGGCTGCATCACTACTGGCTGAAGGGGTTCATGGTGTGTCACTCTGTGCTCGCCCGACAGTTTCAAGAGGCTCTCAACCAGAAGTCGCTCCCAAGCCTCTTCACTACTGGGATCACTCATTTGGTTCCTAAAGACCAGGGTACCACAGACCCGAGCAAATACCGCCCCATCACGTGTCTACCGACCATATACAAGACACTAACATCCATTTTGAGCGCGAGAATCACTTGTCACCTGGACTCAAATCAGGTGATGTCGCGCGCTCAAAATGGATGTCGGGCGGTGGTCGTGGAACCAAGGAACCACTCCTCATTGACGCGGTCATTGGCAAAGTGGTGAAACGCAACCGTCGGAACTTCTCCGCCGCCTGGATAGACTACAGAAAGGCATTCGACTCGGTGCCCCATACATGGCTAAAGAGAGTCCTCGAGCTGTACAAGATAGACTGTACAGTTAGAGACTTCCTCGAGCAGTGTATGGGGCAGTGGAGTACGATCCTTTGTCATCTGGGCGAGCGGATGATGGCTGCGGAGAACCACATAAGGATAAGAAGGGGTATCTTCCAGGGCGATTGTCTGAGTCCAATCTGGTTCTGCCTCTCTCTGAACCCTCTCAGTACCTTACTGGAGGGCTCCGGGAGGGGATTTCAGCTACGGAAAGGAGGGACAAAAGTGACCCACCTTTTCTATATGGATGACCTCAAGTTATTCGCCTCCAGTCGCTCCCATCTTATGGAATTGCTAAACATCACTTGTGAATTTAGCAATTCCATTGGAATGGCGCTTGGGACGGATAAGTGTGCGGTCCTCCATGTTGAAAGGGGAAGGGTTGCTAACTCTGAGGGCGTAGACTTATCTATGCCCGTCAACTTAAGGACCCTTTCCGAGGCTGAAACATACCGATACCTGGGTATGTCACAAAACATCGGTATCGATGAGACTGGTATGAAACAGTCAGTTTGCGACGTGTTTTATGCACGCTTGACCAAAGTGCTTAACAGCCTTTTGTCCGGTGTGAATAAGGCACGGGCATATAACGGCCGGGTCATGCCTGTCCTCATGTATACCTTTGGCATACTCAGGTGGACTCAGACTGAACTTAACGCCCTGGATAGAAAAGTCCGCACTACCATGACGTCCCATAGGATGCATCATCCGAGATCGTCGGTAATGAGGCTGTACTTGCCGCGGAAGCATTGTGGTCGTGGCTTCTTGAGCGCGCGCTCACCATGCATAATCGTGAAGTGTGCAGCCTCCGTGATTACTTCCTGGCAAGATCGGATGATCCATTCTATAAGGACGTCATTTCTTGTGATAAAGGACTTACCCCTCTATCCTTAGCCAACGAGCAATGGCAAGACCCGGCAGTGCAGAGCATTTCCGACCGGGAGACCGTATGGAAGGAGAAGGAGCTCCACGGGAGGTTCTACAAGGCTCTACATGAGCCTTTCGTAGACACAGTAGCCTCCCTCCACTGGCTACGCTTTGGTGATCTCTTCGGGGGAAACCGAGGGTTTTGTCTGTGCAATACAGGATCAGGTTATTAAGACCAACAACTATCGGAGATACATCCTAAAGGATGGCACCGTCGACATCTGTCGAGCTTGTCGCCATCCCGGTGAGTCACTTAGGCATGTTATCTTCGGTTGTTCGGTGCTTTCTAACTCTGAGTACTTGCACAGGCACAACCTAGTAGCCAGAATTCTACACCAGGAGCTCGCTCTGAAATACGGTCTCGTGGATCGGAAATTGCCGTATTACAAGTACTTGCCGGAAGCCGTGCTCGAAAATGATCGCGCCAGGCTCTATTGGGACCGGGCCATCATCACAGACAGGACTATTCTTGCGAATAAGCCTGATATTGTGCTGATAGACCGGGCACAGTCAAGGATATTTTTGGTCAACATTACCATTCCGTATGACGAGAACCTCGTGAAAGCCGAAACGGACAAGCAAACAAAATATCTGGACCTGGCTCACGAGGTGACCGACATGTGGGGTGGTCTGCCGACCGAAATTATTCCTGTAGTCGTCTCTGTAAACGGGCTAATCCCAGTCAGCCTCCCGGGTCATCTGAGGCGGCTGGGACTACGTGGCGGACCGCTCCAGGTTCAAATGCAGAAGGCGGTGCTCCTCGATACCGCCCGCATCGTCCGCCGGTTTCTTTCCCTTTCCCCCTAACCCTCGGCCGTTTGGTCTCCCCCTGCCGAGGGCTTCCATCTGGTTGGGCTTTTATTTATTTATGTACTTTTATATTTATTTTATGTTATTGATATTTATGTATATTTATCTTTTCATTTTCATTTATAATTATATATTTATAGAACCCAACCAGATGAGAAAACTACATAGATACTCCAAATAATAATAATAATAATAATGCCCTCCAGACCGAATTTCGGCCACGGCGGCCTGCCTCAACGGAAGCTAGCCATCGGCGCAGGACAGGATTATAGTGTCCAAGTGTATGCGCAAGCACAGGTGCACTCTCTATTCCCTCACTCTCATAATCCGATGGGACGGTAAGCCGACACGACCGGAGAGAGATCAGGTGCAGGACCTACGGCTTTACGTGCTTTCCGAGGCACGTGGGTAAGACACCGCCAACTTCCTGACTCCGGGCAACTACTGAGAATTTCTTAACGGAAAAACTCAATATTAATTTTTTGGCCCGACCCGCGATTCGAACCCAGGACCTCATGATCAGCAGTCGCACTACTACAACCACTAGACCAACGAGGCAGTCTGCTCCACTCCATACAGAAATACAATATATGATAGCTTGAGCCAAAGCGATATATATTTGGTAAAGTAACTTTTTCGTCTTAGTGTTTTAAATGTTCCAAATGTAATGTAATGTAAGTTTCCTAAGTCTATTCATGATTAATTCTATGTGTCTATTCATTGACAAATGTTGGTCAACTATGACTCCTAAATACGATCCTCTTAAGCGGCAGACTTGGATTGCAGCTTGTAGAAATCATGAAACTTGGATTCTTAAACGGACTAGCACCATTTACTCCGAATATTTTGATAAATCATATTTCATACCCCAAGTTGTCTATAAAAGAAGGTTAGCCGATACTGATGACCAACCTTGAACTTCTGGGAGGTAACGTCTAGCTGTAATTATATCAATAGATTAAATAGTTTTATTATTACCCTTGACACCAATATTAATATTCTTGAAAATATTTTAGAATTTCGACAAGTTTACAATTACGACTTCTTATATTTACGCAAACACTACACATTAAACTTATTAAATTCACAGAGTTAAGATGTTTCGCCCTAAAACTTGATTATTATCGAATATTCTATCATAGCGATAGGATACGTAAAACTTTTGGAATATGATTAGCTGCACTGCACCACGGACAGTATCATCAATTGCCGACCAGGGTTTACTAAAGGAGTGCTGACAGCGCGGAGAGTAACCCTGATACAAAAATTATTTAACCATGGTCATGGATGAAATGAAAATTAAGCAGTTGATGAGATACTATGCTAGCAGCCAAAGATATTATGGCTATGTTGACTACGAGTTTGATATTATATCCGATAATTTCGATGAAGCTACTCACGCATTAGTATTTTTATTGCTTGGTGTAAACATACATGGAAAGTACCCATAGCAAACTTTTTGATTAAATTTGAATTAAAATTTGAGTTTTCAAAAACTGACCATAATTATATTTACCAATAAATTCATAATTTTATATTACACTAAAAAACTCTTCACTGCTGAACGTATGAGGACTTGTGAAGGGCTGTAGGTAATGAATGAAAAAACACTAAAAATCACTTTTACCAACGCTGAACTTATGCGGACTATGATGATTTGTTTATCGATAAAAAATATCGACATAGTGCGGCACCAGTGTATCGACACGTGTACAATTTGATGGTATGGGTAAATGCAATGAACACAAATACAAATTCTGTAGTGTGCGTGTATAGTGAGGTGATTCATTTGTAGTGAAGTATACAGTAGTGTATTTTTCTCGCACCCCCTGACATTGACGACATTGACAGGCTTTTTGTTTAGGAATTAACGCGCATGGCCTTTCCAGTTGGTTGAATACTCAAAGATTTCCGGTTTTTAACTTTAAAACAATATAACACATCTATTTTTGTATTCTTTATATTGTTGTATATTAGCAAAAGAAATTTTTGGAAATATTCAATAATTGAAAAACTATTTAATTTTCTTCTTTCGCCTCTTTAGACATCCACGAGAAGATATGGAGTAATAGACAAAATATAGTGCTAATCAAAAAAATCATCATCATCATTACAGCCCTTCACAAGTCTACGGCTGAACATAGGTCTCCCCTAAGGAATGCTACAAAGGTGCCACACGGTACTGAGCCACACGCATCCATCGTATCCATCATATCCATATCTTACCAGGTCGTCACTCCATCTAGTGGAGGGTCGCCCTAACTGCGCGAATTTTCCCCATCGGTTGTCGGTATTTCGAGCTATACGGCCGGCCCATTGCCACTTCAGCTAACTAATCCGTTGGGCTATGTCGGTTACTCTGGTTCTACTGTGGATATCCTTATTTCTAAGTTTATCACGCGGAGAAACCCCGAACATAACCCTCTCCGTAACTCGCTGAACTACACTGAGCGTCCTTATACGGCCGCAGTGAAGGACCACGTCTCAGATCCATAATTTATCACAGGCAACACACACTGATTGTGCAATCTTGTTTTCAGGTTTTGAGGTATAACTGACGAGAAGATGTGTCGTAATATCCCGAACGCTGCCCAACCGAGTTGAATTCATCGATTGACCTCTCGGTCGAAGTTGTACTTACCTAGTCGGACTACTTGTCCCAGGTAAACGTACTCGTCAACAATTTCGAGCTTAGTGCTTCCAACAACCAACGGCATAGGTTTGGCATGGACATTACACATGACCTCTGTTTTATCCATGTTCATCTTAAGACTTATCCGTTGAGAGACACTATTGAAGTCATTGAACATGGTGCTTAGGTCCTCCAGTGATTCTGCCATAAGAACTACATCGCCGGAAAATGGAAGGTGAGTGTTGTACTCGCCATTAATGTTAGTAGCATGAAAATGTCTTTCAGTGCATCGGTGAAGAGTTTCGGAGAACACCTTGCCTTACACCTCTCTATAGTTAGATAGGTTTTGTAATCTGGT